CTGGATGGAAAAAAACTTTAAAAAAAGAGATCAAAGAGCAGTTTGTGGTCATAGTAACTGGCTATAGACACCCTTTAAAAATATCAAGTTATGTTTCATTACTGTATGGTGGTTATTTATTTAATATGGCTACAGCCTTTATGCCCAAAAAGTTCTAAACTGTAGGGTGTCTTTTCTGATGGTATCTTAGGCAAGCTCATCTATTCAATTTTTTTAAAAGGCTTTAAATTAAAACCTCACATATGAACTCTCTGCAAGTATGTAAAGAATGTCAACAACTTGACCAAACACGAAATAAAGAACTCCAAATGAACTTTCATAAACCAGAGGAGCACAAACCATGGATTATGAACTTACTACACAAGTTATTTCTTGCCTATACCCCAGTCAGTGCTTAAAACAACAAGCAAGTTAGAAGAGGGAAGATGGGTACAAACACAATCTCATCAATGAACATAAACTAACAAAGATGTAGATTTTCAATATACTTTTTTCATACTTTTGTATAAATGTATTTACTTGTGGAACATTGGTCTTAATATCCCCTTGTTTATACAAAAATACCTGTGCTTATCCCTTTAGACATTCTCAAAACAAATAGTATTATATTTCATAACTTATCCAGACACCACCAAAAATAATACTGCAATTATGATCCTCACCAGGAAGATTATTCCTAATCGCTTTCTTATGAAATCACTAATGACAGACTATCTGATCAGAAGAGATGTTGAAAACTTTAATTCCTACTGACTCTACCTCACATGGAAAACAGGCAACTCCCCCATCAAACTGAGTCTGTCAAAAAACACGTTGATTTAAGTTGATGAGTAGTCAAGAAAAAAGAATTATTATGGGAATGGTCTCTTTCAAGGAAGAGTTTGAGGCTTATTCATCAGTGTCCTACTTAGATGGTTATAACAACAGAACAGCCTGCTTGTTCCAAGCAACAGTGGTACCTTTTTTGCTGGCTGTGAAGTGATGATCTTGTTCCTCATGGTGCTCTCTACTGTGGATTGTTCCAAATTGCCTTCGGCACATCCTACAGGAGGTTGACACCTCTCTGGCCACAAATTTTGCTTCCCTTTTCTGAGGCATGTCCCAGCAACACACTGGTTTCTCACTGGTCTTCCTTCCATGGTTCACCTGTTAAAGCAAAGATGTAGCACACCCATCACAGGATACTGAAATAGGGGGCTAGACAGTACATTGAGTTGGAAGTACCATCAGGAGCACAATTCAAAGCAAAATTTTCATTTTAAAGCACAGCATCAAGAGGAAGGGTAAATAGGAGACTATATAAAGCACAAGGAGTGCATCTACATGAGACATTAATTGCAGATGTGCCTAATTAGCTCCACAGTAAAGTCCCTGCCTCTACTCATGTGATCCAATTAGGCCACAGTAAACAAATACACTCCACCATAAGATAGTACTTGTATTTAGTACAAGTACTAATAGTAGTACCTGTACTGAATACAAGTACTTGTACTTTAATACAAGTACTATCCTATGGCAGAGTTATTTACTGTGCAGCACCCCATGTGTAGACACTGACAGTGCTGGCTGGGGCACAAGGGTACTTCAGTGCAGTGGCTGCCTGCTGGCTAGCCCTATACTTCAGCATCCTTGTGGCCCAGCAGCCTCTTCATAGCACATTGAGCTAGGTCAGAGCAGCCCCAGGATTGGAGGTTGACCCCCCCTGCTCCCCTGCCAGCCAGGGCTGCTTTGACCTGGCTCAACATGCTGCAGTCCAGTGTGCATGTTCAAACACAGTGCCTGAGAGAAATAATCTCAGACACAATATGCCAGAGTTTATTGCTGCAGGTTAATTGCCCATGTAGACATGCTGGCAGAGGATTACTGATAGTAGTAATAATAAAATAGCAATAGCTTCAATAGTATTGGAGTGATGATGCAACTGTGATGATCCAGGAAATATACAAGAGGCAAGGATTTTTGTGGGTGATATCTTTTATTGGGGTAACTCTATGTTTGGGATGGACTTAGATGATCTTTTGGGTAACATACACCTGAATCCTTGCCTCCAGCAAGTTTCAATAACTTCATTTTAAAGACCATCTTGGAGCTTACTACAATTTTCAATAAAATTAGGAATTAGTTCCATCCTTTAATAGAATTCTCCAAATACCTCCTATATCAGTAAATAAATTATGGACATTTGTTAGACAAAAATTGCTTGGAACTCAAAATACATCATCATGAGCATGATCTCAACATTTAATTAGACTACTTAAATAAATGAACTTCTTCAGAGAAAAGAGACTGAATCCACATGTGGTTTTAAGATCATGAAAGTACTGTTCTTATCTTCATTGTGTTGGTTTACTTTCAAAGCTATTTTAATGTAATTATGTTCTCTGGCAAGTATATTCTAAAGCTATTAAACGCATAGAATGAGAGACCAAGTGACAGACAAACAAATAAAAGCTTGTACTGAATGTAGTAGTCTGTAAGAACATCAGTGTGTACAAGCAAAAAGATTTTTTTTCTGGGTTTCTCAGGATTATTAAATATAGTTTTATGGGTCACATTCATTTTGAGGGATCCCTGAGATGCCTTACAAAGTATTTATATTGGGTCCATGTGCCAGGCTGCTATACTGAGATATTTGTGATACTATAGTTTTCCCCTGTGGTATTTGCATGTTCAAATACGGTACCTGGGAGAAATAAACTTGGATGAAATATGCCAGAGTTTATTGCTGTATGTCAATTGCACAAGTAGACGTGCCTGCAAAGGATTACTGATAGTAGTAATAACAAAACAGCAATAGCTTCAATAGTATTGGAGTGATGATGCAACTGTGATGATCCAGGAAATATGCAAGAAGCAGGGATTAAGAGGCAAGCTGAATGTTGACTTTTTAATAGTGACTACAGTAAATAAAAGCAACACTTTCTTGGTGGAGAGCTGCAGTCAGTTGGTCTAGAACATAGTGTGCATTCTATTTTTGGAAACTTGACAAATCAGATGAATAAAGATTCAAAGGAGCTAATGGCAGGTAAGGGATGAACAATAAAATAATTATTTTCTAAGTGTCTTCTAACAAAAACCATACTGTACATTTTTTCCTTTAGGAGTTCCCATAAATGCCAGAGTAAGGACTCTTCTATGCCAGGTCTGATTCTAACAGAACTTCCATTAGGCCAAAAAGGTTTCTTCGACTTTCTTTATAGTTTTTATACGAAGTGAGATAGAGTTTCCTAGCCATATGTGCTACAGTTTATCTATGCTAATGCTTCAAACTAAATCACCATAATATTTGATTTGCGAGTGACACAAGTACAACATCCAGAAGAGGACTTACAAAAACTAGAGTATCCTTTGCACATCCTGAGCCCACAATACTAGAGATAATAAAAGAAAACTCTTCAGTTATTTTCTCGATCAGTCTACTAACACAAATTTTTATTCATATAGTACAGTCAAACTTTCAGGTTTCATACGTATTTAAACCAGTTTTCTCTTGTAAGATGTACTCTCAGTTCCAATATAAACTTTTGAATTAAAGTTAATATATGAGAAAGGAAAGAGGTAGGAAATGAATGAAATGTGTGCTAGGAGAAAGAAGAATCAGGGCCAAACAACCTCACCTCTTCATGATTCTGAAGCATCTCTTTTAAAACTACTTTACCACATTTTTCACAATTAACTTTTCCAAGGTGCTTAGCTCGGAAATGATACCTCAAGGCTGTACGGCTGATGAAATCATTCCCACATTGCTCACAGTTGTAAGACTTGAGCGACCACATCCTTTACAAAAAGGAATAAAGGAAGTAGACTTCACTGCAGAGAAACAAGAAAGGGAGATGTATCCATCTGAAAGACAGAACCAAACTACTATACTGAGCTGTGGTAAGGAAGTTAGTACAAAACATATAGCACAAATCAATACGATAATTTCCAAGATTGTTTTAAAACATGGTTAGTCTTACGGCTTGTAAGCAGATGCTGTTAAATAATTAGCAACACATTCCTACTAGCTTCCAGTGTACAAAAGACAGAACACCTCCCCCACCAATTACTGGTTTAAATATTTCTGAAACGTAAGTTGCACTGAAGCACCAGTTTCTGTCCATTATTTTTTCCATACATACTTTATTCAAGGAAGTTTATCCCATAGAAAGAGAAAACAATGGAAAAGCCCCTTTACTTTTTGCAAACTACATAATTATTTATATATACTTATATGTTTGAAAAAGGGAGCTAATCACTTTTACCTCTGCAAAGAAACATTCAGTGTCCACTTCATGGCAAGTGTTTCTCTTTCTTCTTTTCCCAGTTACAGTCACTTGAAAGGACTGAAAGCATTTCTGGCTCCATCCCTCAGAACCTAGGAATTATGGGACATGTAGTTTTTCCATGTTGCCATAATGAGTCCATTTCATCATTCTGCTGGGGTCAGAGGTTTGAAAAGCAGGAAGTTGCCTGTTCTGCAGCTAATGCTACCACTTTGACCCATGCAGCTCTTACAGGTTGTCTACATTGGGAAAGATTGATAGGCAAGTCTACAAGTATCTACTCGATGCAATCCATAGCAAGAATAAAAAACAAACAAACGCCAGGAGACATTTTGTGTGCACTCACGTGCTCATAATTGCAAGCTACTTTCCATCCAATATTCTATCCAAAACCTCACTTCTAAGATTCTTCTCAGAGTTATGCTAAAAGTGTCCCTTTAGGTATTTCTGGGATTTCCTTGCTGTCTTCCTTGCCTTCGCTACTAGACCTATGCAATTGTATGGCTCAGCCATGTATGCAGTTTTATCCTTAAGCAGCGATTTTCCATTATTTCAATTACCACTAACCAGAAAAGCATTAAATTGCTCCCTAATTTAGTTTAATTGGAAGGTGACTACTATTTCCAGCAGCTTCGATAAAGGACATGTCAAGCTTGGAAGGCACAATTAAGTGGAAAAGAGAGAAACGCTTCTGACAAAGATATAGCCTTTAAAAGCTCATGCCTCTCTGAATGAGTTAGATGCCACCCTGCCCCGTCTTCTGCCTAGATACTCAGAAAGTTATAGACAACAAAGGCACAGAAAAGGGCAAGAAATAAGGTATCAAGGTCTGGAGGCAATACAATAGAAGAAATTAACGTCCCAAACAGTAATGGAGTCATTAGCAGGCAAAGTAACAAACAATATGCAACACTTAGCCAGAAGGAATTAATAGTGCTAAGACAGGTAGATCTGCTGAACAACAGATGCTTGAACAGGACAGAGTGGAAGGGGCAAGATAAAGTATTGCAGGGAAAAACAAGAGAGTAAGATAGTAGAGGGGTACAAAATGGTCCCTATCTGATTTGGATTCGGCCCTAACTGGGGACAGTGATTCGATTCATTGATTCAGATTACTGTCCCCAATTCCATTCAGCCAAATCCGAATCTGAAGATTTGATGCTGATTCAGAGAATCAGTGATTCAGACACAGACACAGCTTTATATGTTTTTTCTACATACCTCAAGGTACCAGGTACGGCTCATGAACACTGAGATAGTGGGGTGGATGGAACATCCCACAGGAGTGCAGGCAGGGCCTCTACGTTTTTAGCGGTGAACCTGGAAGTGGACCGGAAGTATTTCCGGTCCACTTCGGAGTCCACCGGAGAGTGTACTGGGGGCCCCCCCACACACACCCCTGGCTTGGTGATCAGCTATGGGGGGGAGGCCGGGTGTCCCCCCAGACCCAGGAGGAACCCCCGCGTGCTGTCTGGCAGACCTGGAAGTGGACCGGAAGTGCTTCTGGTCCACTTCTGGGTCTGCTGCCGAGCGTGTTGGGAAGCCCCCCGCACTCCTGTGGGACACTCCATGTGCCCCAGTATCACAGCATTCACGGGCTGCCTGATACCTAGAGGTATGTAGAAAAAACATTTAAAAGCTGTGTCTGTATCCAAATCACTGAATCTTTCCAAATCAATTCAGAGGGTTCCAATTCGATTCAGAGAGATTAAAGTGTCCTCTGATTCAATTCCGATTCGGAGATTCAGCCACCAAACTGGGCCGAATCTCTACCGAATCAAATCGGGGACTGAAGCTTCGCACAACCCTATAAGATAGTCCAGCTTTGGTCTGGAGAGAAGCCTTCTATTCTAGCAGTTCTTCCATTTACTGATATGTTGCACATTTTGATGGCTCTGGCATATTGGTTACATACAATACAAATCTTTGTAAAATTACATCTTCTTCTAAGTTTAAAACTGTGTAAAGATCTGAGCACAAGAGAGATCCCATTCCAAAAAAAGGAGGAACACAAATCAGTGAGTCAAGTTCATCTCAATTTCCCATCTCTGTGGAGTGAAAGCAGAAATGTGAAGACATGGCCGGCGAAGACAAGATATGATACACAGGAGGGGGCAGTATTGAGTCTATTAGCATCAATGAAGGAAGAAAACAAAGGGTAAAAAATAATTTTCTGTCAAGACACTTAGAAACTTGGCAGCAATCTTTGTTGTTCTGTTGGCAACCCTGGCAACAAAGAAGCTGTGTGAGGTCTTCATTAATACAAGCTGAAAAATGAACACAGGGAAAGTCCCTTTTTTGCTAGCTACTGTGCGTCAGTCATGGGTCATAGGCTATAGGACACAGCTCATCAAAAGTCAGAGCAAGATAAAAAGGAAAGTAAAAACAAAACAAGCCTCCTAACATCCCCGCTCTGTAAAATTGTATATAATCAGAAACAGCTGCTAGGAAGCTGGGCATAATTTCTAACATCAGACAAACTAGCTGCTGCCATCATGTGCTTATTTGGCTGGCCTGCCCACCCAAGTAATCAATGGAAGCCTGGTTCTCACTCTTGAAAAAGAATAGGATTTGTGACTCTTTTGAACAGTTGCTTCCTACCCCTCTGCCATGCGTCATGCCGTAAAATTGGCACACTTTTGATTGATGAATGAATTTCAGTATGGGTCTACTCGTGTCCAATACTTTGGGGCTCACTATATTCCGTGTGTTCATGAGCTTAAGTAGCCAGTCGAGAGTCCGATACATCTAAGCTGCCATTACTAAATTCATCAAGACATTCTTAGCACTCATGTCTTTCTCCTTAACAGGTGACTAAGGACATGAGCCATAATTAATTTCATGTCCCTTAGCTCTTCATCTCTGACTTGCCTTTCTACAGTAATCTCACCGTAGTCCTCTTCACAACCAGCAAACCAAAGATATTGCAAGGATTGGCCCCAAATCTTTCAGAGTCTCCACTGTTCATATTCTTAAGGCAACATCCATAAGTAGAAAATAAAATGGCTTTCAAGGATATTTCCTTTCTTGCTAGCCAAGTCTTTGAGATTTTTATGGGCCTTGCTTAAAAAGGTAAAAGGTCACAACAATACATGTATTCACTGCAGGGAATAGGCTGCCAAGGTCCATCAACACTGCATAGATACGAACAGCTACTTATTACCACTGGACACTAGATAAATAGGTTGTGGTTACAAGAATTATTCTGTTTTTTTCTATTCACTAGAAACATGCAATTGATGAACTATATATAAGCAAGATGCTACTAACATTTTAACAAAGTGTTCCTATGTTAAATGCCCTGTGGCTAGAAGACACACACACAAAAAGCAACGAATTCTACTTACAACAGCTGTGGCCGAAGCCTCATTGGATGTCATACCCATTACATCTGTGTTGCCCATATAAGCGGTAGTTGGCCTTCTCCTAGGCCCAGGGAGGGCTAAATATTTTAACATGCAAATCAAGCTCTGGCACATTTGGCTTGGCCTGAAAAGGTTTTTGCTTCATGTCCCTTCTCCCTAGTCAGCTCCTGCCCACCATTATCCAATTGCTGTGTACATTACCAAAGCCAGGATTTTGTGAAGGTGATACACCCAAAATAAGAGTGACTTGTTTCATTAACTGTGTTGGCAGCAGGACCTTTACATTTCACTCCCCTAACCTTCTCATGACCCACCCACACACTTCCCACCCTCACATTGAACCTCATTACTTCTGTGCCTCAGCCCCACTAACTAAATGAAACTGGTCTACTGTATTTTCAAGGAGAATGAGCTAATCCAGTCAACCACCTAGGATTTTCTGGGACAGGCCAAATGTCAAGTCTGTGTCCGGATGTTCCCAAGGATTCCCCAAGGTGGGATTTTTATCACAACTTGGAGAAATTGGTCCCAGATCAGTACCAGGCAGTGTCCTGTTGAATCTGCTGAGAGGACATGATATGTAGCTTGGTCATGTTACAAGGAGAAAGGAGCTTGCTTTTTTCTTTCTTTCTCTTTCATCCAGTTAATTGTTTGAACAGGGACCTAATCTCCACTATGGTTGTGTTATTTAAGATTCTGCATTGTACAACACTACTGTGCAGAGATAGATTTTATGTCTCTGGACAGACAAAACAGTTAAACTCCTTTAAAAAGAGGAAAAGGGTGCATGTAGTATCGGTGTTGGTCTGAGACAAAAAGAAATGCAAACATCTAGAACTCTTGGTTCCAAAATGATACCTTTTATTAGACCAACTGAGAAACTTTAGATTTTTGCATGTCTTTAAAAGGAGGAAAGGAACTTACCATGGTGCAGCTAAATTTGGTGCAAAGGTTTTTTCTACTTGCTCCTAATCCACAGTACAAACTGTTGAACGTTCAGGAGGAAACTACTGCAGTTTCATTTCACTTACTGACGGTTAGTAGTGGACAGAGAAGACAGTTACACCAGATCTTCCAATATACACACCTGAGCAGTAAGCCACCCTCCTTTTAAAGCAGCGTAATAGTATGGCTCTCTATCCCTTAACAGTTCCAGACATATTTTGAAAGCAACATCTGCATAAAACAAAGTTTTTCTTGAAATTCATAGGAATGCAATCAATACTTCATAGTACAATCAGTACTTTAGTCCTTGTGTTTGATTGAATGGATGTTAAATGCAACCTTATGCAGTCATTTCATTTTAAAGTGCCACAGATCTTTGCATTTCAACACACATAATTGCACTATAGAACCAGGTGAGGTATGAAAAAGCCGGAGGTCTTTGAGCTTTGCCTTGTCATCATTAGGTTTCAAAGTTGACGTATTGTGACATTCTGAAATACCTCAAATTTTTCCAAAGCACCTTTCCAGGCCATCCATTAACCCAGGCAAGTAATAATACCTCTTCATTTCAGCCACATTTCACGTTTGGAAGGTTTTCCCTACATCCATAAATGCTAGGTTTTCCTCTCCAACCCTTGTTTTAAAAAGACAGCCTTTATTGTAAATTCTGATTCCAGTTTAGAGGCTTTGTTCTGCAACAGATACTGCAGTTGTTTAATCCCGCAGTTACATTTCTGCCTGGTCTGTGGCCCTGTT